GATGCCGAAAATCGAATCCAATGGCGTGTTGGAGAGGGATCAAATCAGACAGGAGCCGGGTATTGGATAGGGCTGTGGCAGCCGTGGCTGTGTGTGTCAGCGAGCGGTCTCTGTCAGGTCTGCTGGTGGTAAGCGGTAATCCCGCGGTTTGAAATAGAGAGCGGAGTGGTTGGGACCGGGCATATATTTAGTAGCTTGATGTGCATAAAAGCCATAGGAGACAGATATGTAGGGAAAGGGGCAGTGGGAAGGAGTTGCTGGTGTTAGATGGGGACGAGGGAAGCCATTGGGCAATCAAGCTACACACAGCTGCGGCTGCTACAGCCCTGTCCATATCCCGCTGTCCATTGCCGACACCACAGCGATCTCCCTGCCTCTCCTCCACACCGCACAGACCCCCTACGGCATTTCGGTCGAAGTCCCCTCTTCTTGTCTACACTCTCCCGTGGATGTACCTCTTGGATCAACACATCGATTACAGTCGAAACCACACCACGAGTGCCCCGATCCTCCATACCGGCCGTCCATCTCCAGATCCTGGCAATCACGCGTAAGTGCCACCACCTTCAGTCTTCATTACTACTTCGTTAGCTAGCCAGTGTTCTCTGCGCCCTTTCTTGGTTTCTTGAACATTTACATTTCACAGGCTCTCCTCCTGTTTTCCAGGGCTGCATACACGCCTCTAAGCCAACTTTTTGCCCATCCGAGAGCGCTGTTTACATGTTTTTTCAATGAGGGATGTGGTGCCTTGGTTACCTAGCAATCCAACAAAATGTAATACATATCATCTTTCATTGACTTGATGACATTAAAGTGGAATCATATTGATTGCTGTGGGTTGTCATACAGTATATGCTTGCTCCTTGTATTGTAATATACACCAATCAGCAATAACATTATGACCACGGCGAGGTCACAATAGGCAGAGTTATCTCAGGAAGTGCGCTCCTACTGCCTCTCTTTAGAGTGCTGTTTGCATTTGTTTAGCAGGTGAATTAGAACAAACTTAGGTTAGAGCTGAACTCGGGATAAGCAAATATTTTCTGAATACAAGCGGCATGTGTACTCTTCCTTGAGTCTTGATGTGTCTTTCAGATCTGTGCAATAATCCAGTGTGAAACGTTGCCTGTAATAAAGACCAGTCACTGCTGCTCTTTGCTCTTTTTTTTCCTGTGCAGGTCTTGTATCTGCCCCTTTCCTGTAGAGTTCTGCAGCTGTGTTCTATCAAAAGTTGTGACTGCGTTAGAATGTGTCACCAGGTTAAAATGGGTTAAAACCAGGTTAATTAGGTTAAAATGGTCACACATTTTAACCTAATCCCGCCCAGTTTAACAGTGGTGGAATGTGTGACCTGTCACGTGGTTACACATTTTAACATAATCACACCCACCTTTTCGGCGGTGGAATATGTGTCTGGCAAAAGGTGAAGAATTCCAGCTGTTCCAGGGCAGATAGGCACGTGACCGGTCACACATTCCAACAAAGTCCCAATCTTTGATAGAACACCAGCCTGTATTGGGTGGAGCCTGTTATGCCCCTCCCACAGCTCTGTTCTCTGTACAGGGATGTATGTGCAGACAATGATGATGTCACTGCTACATTTCCAAGGTAATATCTTGGTTTAAAAAGACACATTATGTGCACATAAAGGGGACTTATATCCTTTGTGGCTATTGAGGAATATATTTAAATGAACGTTTTCAAAACCGGCATTCAGCTTCAAGGTACACTGAGAAAAATGTCTTACTTCTCCAATCTTTTTATTCCCCATTTTTTTTTATTTATTTATTTTTAAATCATTTTCTTTATAGTGACAGTTATGTTGAAATACAACCTCAGCAGAGACATGCATGTACATGAGACAACATATTCCTGCAGGGTAGCAGTGTGACAACACCCACACCGTAACCTGTTCATGTGACAAAGTGAAAGAAGAACAAACAGTAAAGGGAGAGTGACCCAAAATGAACCCGTATGTGTCAGGCATCCTGCCCAAATCGTAACTCTGCTTCTGGGGCAAAAAGGAGAGGGCAAAAGAAGAGCAGGTAAAACAAATTGGGGGAAAGAGAAAGGGGGTGGTGGGGAGGGTTAGAAAGGGCAAGGAATAAGTCTAGAGCAGGGCTAGCCAAACTCCGGCCCTCCAGTTGTGGTGAAACTAGAAATCCCATGATGCATCTCTCTCCGGGAGTCATATCTGTGGCTTTGAGAATCTTGCAATGCCTCATGGGATTTGTAGTTCCACCACAGCTGGAGGGCCGGAGTTTGGCTACCCCTGGTCTAGAGGCACAGGCACTAATGTGGACACTCAAAGAGGGAACCCAAGCAGGAAGTAAACAGAAGAGGAAAAGACTCTGGGCTGCGGCATCATGTGACCATGGCTTAAAGTGTATTTCCACTTTTGCAGAGAGGAAAACCCCTCTATATGTCTGTTATGTGTTCCTATTCACACAGCATATCTAACAATCATTTCTAAATTATATATGTATTACATTTTAGATATCTCTGTTTAGCAGGCCTTTGAATGCTCCAGTGATGGTATGTCCCTTGGCATACATTGAAGGGAATTTATCAAAACTGGAGCAGACAAAATCTGGAGCAGCTGTGCATGGCAACCAATCAGCTTCTCTCTTTCATTTTCAAATCTTAACTGAACAAACTGAAGAGAAGAGCGCATTGGTTGCCGTGCACAACTGCTCCAGATTATGTCTGCTCCAGTTTTGATAAATTCCCCCCACTGTGCATAGAATTTGATTACTCACGGACCTTAAACTGCTGCAGTGGAGGGGGAGAGAGGCTGGAAGGAGCGGTCTAAGAGCAAGCCGGCCTGGAGGATTGGGTGGGTATAACTTTGTTTTTTTCCTCCCTAGATGAAAATGAGCCGTTAACCCTTGCAAGGGTAGCCCCACTGCAAAGGTTAAAAAATGTTTTGCCCAGAGTCCTTTAACATACAAGGTCTTCAGGTCTTTAACTTTTGTTAGGACAGACAGTACTGCTCATCTAGCTCATAAATCTTCCAGGACAGTAAAGACAGGGTTGTACAAACAAAACCCATCCAAACCCCCAGACAGCAGGGTGTTTCAGTCCCGGAGTTCACATAAATAACACCAAAACAAGGTAGGCTGCAATTTTTTCTTTTTTGTAAAGTTATGCTGTGTGATTGGGAACATGTAACAAATATGAAGTAGGTGTTATCCCAATTTGGCTGAAAAAGTGGAAATACACTTTAACCGCTTGCCGTCCGCCGGTGCCCCTAGCGTGCGCTCATGGGCACAAAAAACCTGTCCGATGTGAAGGGCCGTTACCGGCTGTTTTCAGGCTATAGAGCCGCAGATCGTTTTTATGTTCCGGCTGCGCGCCCCCGCCTCGAGTGCCACCGCCCCCCCTCCTACACCCTCACCTTCAATCCCGGGATCCGCTACCCCATCTGCGGCCCGGGACCGGCTCGGGAGAGTGTCAGGAGGTAAGATGGGAGGGAGATCAGCATCTTCCTTCTTGCTGATCTCCCTCCGTACTGTCAATGCGGAAGTGATGTGTGACACATCACTTCCGCATTCACCTGTCATCTGGCTGATATTGCCAGACAGAAGAAGCTGGTGAAGCAGATCTGTGCTTCATCAGCTTCTTTGGGGGTCCCCAAGTGACATTAGGGGTCTTAGGGACCCCTAATGTCTCCATAAAGAGGACCTGTCAGTGTGCCTTTGCTATTATATAGGGGGATTGTTAGCCCCCTATGTGATAGCGATGACATTAAGTGTTTCAACATTTTTTTTGCTCTTCATTTTTTTAAAGTCACATATAAAAAAAAATAAAAAATGTTTAAGTCCCCACCCCAATGTTTACGCACATATAAACGTAAATATGCGTCAGATGCGCCAGCGCATTTAGGGTCATTTATCACTGATGACACTAAACTGATGAGCAGTAAAAGCTTTTAAAGCATCAATTTTGGGTATAACTAGGTCTTATTTTCGAGGTAGGTCTTATATTAGAGAAATCCCTGAAGATAGTGCTAGGTCTTATTTTCGGGGTAGGTCTTACTTTCGGGGAAACACGGTAGTTCTTTGAGGTTTCGCGCACGCACACAATTTTAACGCTTGGCATGTTTGGTTACCCGAAGTGACCCCGTCTTTTATATTTTACCAAATAATAAATGTAATAAATGTTTTATAATTTAATATAGGGGAAAGTATATATTTTTTAAATTTCGGTCATTTTTTCGTAATATAATAAAAAATAAAAAACCCCCAGTGGTGAATAAATACCACCAAAAGAAAGCTCTATGTGTCCCCAAAAAATGGTATAAAATTAATTTCAGTACAGCGCTGCATGACGAAATAAACTTCAGTCAAAGTACCGCAGCGCTGAATACTGAAAAATGGCCTGGACACGAAGAAGGTTTAACACCCCGGACTTCAAGTGGTTAAGGTCATTAAATGCTTTTAGATTAGATTTAGATTTTAGATTTAACCACTCGCTGCCCAGAGCAATTTCTTACATTTGCACACACATGATAAAATCTGAATTTGTTGCTAGAAAACAGCTTCAGACCCCCAAACAATGATATGTTTTCTGAAAGTGGAGGTCCTGTAGAATAAAAGGATGCTAGTTGCAATTTTTTATGTCGCACGGCAGCTACCGCTCTGGAACGCACCGCAATTGGTGTGAACTGGCCCTTAAACATGGAGGAGCAGCATCGATTGTAAGTGGTTTCATTTGAAAAAGATTAAAAAACTTTTGACTTTCATATCACTTTAAGAACCACACAATTCTGAGAACAACTGAGATCACAATTCATAAACTGTATGATGCAGCTTGGTCAAATGTTTATAATACATAGAGTGTATGGGAATAAAACGTTTACAATTGCCACTTAATTCTTTCACTACTAGCAGGGAGAAAGAAAGTGTTAAGTCTGACAGAATTTGTCTTGTCACATGTTTCACATACTTCCTGTAGAGAGAGAGAGAGAGAGGAGCAGGGTCCAACTAAAGGCGGTGTGTGAACAGAGTCAGGACAAAAGACTGCTGTGCTACAGACAGAGAAAGGCGAACTCTCAGGAGGACCGAACCCAACAATGTCTGACTTCAAGATCCAATCTGTTCTCATCACTGGCTCAAGCAGGGGGATCGGACTGGAATTTGTACAACAATTCCTGAAGAGCCCAAATCCTCCACAAAAGATCTTTGCTGCATGCCGGAATCCTGACGGACCACAGAGCCAGGTATATAACACTGACTGCAGTCATACTGCAAACACTGACTGGCTTGCTTGAACAAGCAAAGTGCAGACCGACCATCACAATCAATAGTGAAAACTAAAAATAGACCTTCACTCGTTGTTTCACTGATTGCACTGCCACATGTAACAATTCTGCACACACTCCACCACCTAAAATGTCATTTCAGAGGTGTGAGATTAGTTAATTCACCTTTTTTTAAAAACTATTTTACATTATTTCCAATACAAACGTCCGGCCAAGACCACTAGACACATTGCATTCATGTAGAAGAAATAAAATAGGAATTGAGTTGATACGTGTACGTAAAGGTCTCATTCACACTGGCAATTTGGGATTCCTGCTGCAGAGACCTACAGATTCCTGCGGCAGGAATCCCAGATGGGCCGTTTAGATACACCCGCTGTCACCCATTCAAGGTAATGACCGGGTGACAGCGGCTGCTTCTTTTAGCGGCAGTCCGCATGTAATTGTATGTGAAGCAATTACATGCGGTTTGGAATAGATCACTGTTACTGGATGCATCTGTCCTGTGTCCAGCAACCGTGATCTATTCCAAACCACATGTAATCATACACGGTGATGAGGGTTAGAGTTTTCTCCCCTCTTCTGGATTAACTGTTGATTTGAGGATGTATATGTTGATAACAACTGCACTGCCACAAGCAGCCTTATAAAAAGAAAAAATGTTTTGTAATATATGTAGAAATGTATATATTCTACTTCAAGAATATCCAAACACAAGGACACAAATGTAATATATTGCAGATTATCAGTCCTTTAGATCTGGTGGCTGCATTCGTTTTCATTTTTTAGGGTAGAACATTTTCAGCAGGTACAGATATACATGTTGATCTTCCCAAAAATACTGTGTCCTTGTCGCTTCTTATGAGCAGAGCTGAAATCACAAATGTTATCCTCCTTTTCTAAAGGCTACTAATCCCATCAACCCCTAAAAAAAAAAGGAGATGAAGATGGGAACACGTATATTAAAGTTCAGCCTGGGAGCCATAGATACAGTGCAGTGAGCGCATCCACCGTAGGACAGGAAGAATATTATTCACAGGATTACTAGGGGAAAAGTAAGAAAAAAGCGTAATAATAAAAGAAAACAAATGCAGCCGGATCATCTAAGAAGTGGTAAGCTGCAAAAATATATATATTTTTGGGGGGTTGGAATATGCTTTAAACATGTGTTGTTTTGAAGAGAGTAGGGAAGGGTTAGAATCTATTTTAGGTTGTGACTGATGTGTGTGTACCTGATGGGGTGGGGGTCCACTCCCTCGATATGTCCTGGTGACCATTGATACAGAAAATGATGGCCATGCAAAGCTTTACAGTTGTCACTGACACAGGAAGTGAGAGGAACATCTGCTTTGCCAACAACTATACAAGAGGATAGTTCCCTCACTTTAACAGGTGTAGCATCTTTAAAGGAGAACTATGAGGTGAGTGCTTTTCACTTAATCTCATAGTTCGAGCCGACGTGTGACAATGAAACTGTCGCACGTCTGCTTAATAGATCGGGAAGTGAGCGAACACATACCGTCGCTCGCTCACTTCTCGATCATGTCCCTGCAAAGAGCCGTGACTGTCACTCACGGCTCCCTGCAGGGATTCCCCCCTCCCCTGTCCGATTCCCCAGCGCTGGCTGGCGGAACGGACGGGGGAGGGGGCGGGTACAGCTGGCTCTTCCTCTAGATAGGCAGAGCCAGCTGTCACTCACGCAGCTGAGTGTTTCTCGACAGTAATTTAAGGATCCGTCCTGGCGGCGGCGGTCTTAGTATACTGCGAGCTGTAGCCCTGGAGTCTGGTCACTGGAGCCTCTCTCCCCCACCCCTCTGTTGCAGGGGTATAAGGTCCTGTAAATTATCACATTCTATACACAGTGTAGATGAACATTCCATCACTGCAGTGTAGGAGAAGACAGACTGGAGGGAGCGCTGGAAAGTCATCTTTCAGTTTTTTGCCTTGTGCTTATAACACAAATGAGTTACCACTCTGGCAGACACATTTAAGTACCTTTTATGAAGTTTCTGTTCGTTACAAAGCATTACAACACTTTCCAGTACTATGTGTGTATTGCAGCCTTTATTCGCCATAGAGGGGAATGTCTGGTGTGCTGCTTGTGCTGATATATGTGTGTAAATAATAGAAGTATAATGTTTACAGATGTGTCTGTATGATGACTGAGCTCTAGTAAAACGTTCCAGATTGCTGGAAAAAGTAGAGGTGTTTTTGTTTTTAGCACACAGATGCCTTATTTTCACATTTGACTCCTCAACATGCACTATATAGCCATATAACCTCTTGGGTCTGGAATGCAATCTTTGCTGGTTATGGAATGTTCACACAGCACACTATTCTCTACAGCAGGCGTCAGCAACCCGTTCTTCACCATTTACCTGTTTTTCCTGGTCATGTGACATTTAGTCCCTGTCCACACCTTGATGTTTTGTTAGATTACAGAGACTTGGTCCCATAGACTTCAATGGGAAACTTTGTAACTTTGTGCGACAAAACAGTGTGAACAGGGGCCATAGGAATAAATTAATTCCTTGTCTTGAGCATTTTGTTGTGCTTAGCCTTGAGCACCAAAATGCCTAGGCATGAATGGAGCCTTAGATCATAACCCTGTCGTACTGCCAGGTCCTGACCCTGCCCGTTGCCTCTCAGTTCTCAGATAAAGCGGCACCGGGCATTGCAGAGTTGAGGGAAATTCTAGGCTCCTCTTGGACTCTGATGTGTCATATGAGACAGCTAAAGAGAGACCTGTTTCTACTAAAAGTGGGTATTTTTGCTTCTGGAGGGGAATGTGTGTTACTCCTCTACCTCTACATTGTGTGTTACATACTACTGACTGCACTTTGCGTTATGTACTACTGACCCCTGCAGTGTGTGCGCCCTACTACTGACCCCTGCAGTGTGTGTTACGTACTACTAACCCCTGCACTGTTACATACATATGGTACAATGCGCTAAATGCAATGTATTGCTACTCTTATTTGAATGGCACCACAACGCACCTCCTTGTGGCCGTACATTGCAGCTGTGAATGTCACACATCTTTTGAGGTATAAACCCGTATAAAGGAAGGTACGTGTAATCACGGAAGAACTTGATCTGGGAAGCATGAAGTTTGTAGATAAGTCTCAGATAATTTCTCCTGCTTTAATGAGCAGGAGTGCTTAGTGTGAATGTAGCGTTAAGGAAGTTGTGAAGACCCCTTGTAAGGGGTATTGATGTGTGACTTATCATGAGTGGGGTCTTCTGTATTATAAAAACGATTGAGCAGTAGCCAAGTCCGTTCTTTCTGCCTGCCTGCCTTCCTTCCTGCCTTCTTTCCTAGGATGGACTTTCTGCATAATATATTTTATTTCAGGGCCTTGCTATGTTATGTCCCTGGTAATCTTCGATCTCTTCCATATTGTTTAGATAGAATTCCACAGAAACTATAAAGAATATGCAAAGAAAAGATTACAAATTGCCCATCCAGTGCCAACCTCCAGTGCCTAAAAACACAGGATCAGCACTACGGACAGCACATACAATACAGCTTCTTCTTACCATTTATTTTAAAGGGTGACACCACTTGTTTTAAAATAAAATTTATTATACAAGCTGTGATGTTGCTTAATGTAGTAAAAAGTACTTTTCCATTTCAAGCTGTGGCCAGCTATAAATTTCTGCCAGAATATTCACATTTGGCTTTCTTGCATCATTGGTAACAATAATCTGTGTACAGGAGTTACGAGAATTCTATCTGCTTGTGTACATGGAATACTGTTTTCCTCAAAAGTCTGGACAGAGCTTGAGGTAAAATGTAAGGCATCCTCAGTGCTGTCAAAATACTTACAGCACAGTCCAGCGAGGGCCCTCAACATCTGCATCTGGGTAGTGCAGGAACTGCCTGTTGCATGGCAATATTATCTTCTAAAATAGAATAAAGCTTTTTTGCTAATTTGGAAGATCTCCTACACTCCCCTTGGGTCTACTTTTTAAGGGGATCTACCATGAGATATAGTTTTTATGTTGGGTACATTCATGCTAATTATGTATTGTGTAACATGCCCAAGTATTTTATAACCTTTCACAAATATCACAGTATTCCCCCTGACAATATCTTCACTAGGGGGAACTCAGCTTCTAACTGAACCCAGTCGGAACCTGAGCTCCTATGAACCCCAAAGCTTCTGTGCTGCCTAATCTGCTGCAGTCGGGGAATTACCCTACCACAGCTTGATGTAAGCAAAGAGGTGGCATGCAGTGACGTCATTGACTTTATATGGCTACATGACTACATTTGGTAAATTACATTTACCTAATATGTCTATGTGGCCATCTAAGGTAAATTATGTCAGCATAAGCACCCCGCCCCTTTGTTTACATGCCCTGCATTTTGTTAGCACATAGCAGAAGTAGGGAGTACATACAGTATATGATATGGGAGCACTAATAGCAATATCATTATAAGGTCCTGACTTTCTAACTTTCAGCTCAAAGCAAACCTGTGTGTGCACCTAAGCGACTAAAACGACAACACTAGCTAATAAATGGCAGCAAAAATTGTCAGTCTTTTTATTCTGATTTTGCCTAGCTTTTGTCCCCCCAATGCTGCCCAGAGGTGCCATGAAGTCTCTGTACTGATTAGATGCGCCCCCATACCCACAAGTATAATGTAGTGTCAGAAATCTAAGCAACCTACCAGCAGGCCTGGCCACTGTCACTTAGCAAGCAGGGGGGTAGTAATCTAAAAAAATGCAAGTAGCGACCTTTAGAAGTCAATATTTGCATATTTGGCTTGGCAAGGCTCCAGGTGGCACTAGGGGAATAGACGGATGAAAAAGATACCTATGTCAGCTATTAGCTAGCATGATTTTAGTCATGTACATGAGCACGGGGGTCCAGATTAAAGACAAACTTACTCCTGGAACCAGTTCTGTCCTAAACCAATAAATAAGACTTCAAACATGCAGAATTGTTAACAGCCTGATAATGGAGCTAGAGCTGTATATACCATGCTTGCTGTCATTTTTACAAGGTTATCCAGGATTTTGCTCATTGTGTTTTCAAGAAGATTTGTAGTATTTTACAACCGGTATCATTAGACAAATGTTTTTTGTTTCCTTCTGTAGGCACTCAAGGACTTGGCTGAAAAACACCAGAGTGTTATAGTTGTTCAAATAGGTGAGCTTTGATATTTTGTGGTTTCTAAGAGCTTACTTAAATCCTGTGGGTTTTCTGGTCATATCTAAAACACAATTTCTATGTATTTTGTTATAAACGTTCAAGTGGACATTCCAAAAACTAATTTTTTAGACCCAAATTCTAACCGTGTATACTCAACATAACGCTATAGGAATTTGTATGATTCCGAAAAATAAAGATGAGAAGAGCAGGAGAAAGGGAAATAAAATTGAAAAGGGTGGCAAAGGAAAGGAACTTTTGTTCCCCATAGTCTCTGTATGTGTTGTAAATTGAGTCACCGCTCCCAGCTCGCTCCCGTGATGGACTACAATCTCAGCTTTAGTTTACTAATTATTATTGAGATTGTAGCCTATCACAGAAGCGAGCTTGGAGCAATGACTACTTTACAACACATACCGAGTCCATGGGGAACAAAAATAGCCACCCTCCAGAAGGAAGGACAGTGTCGGCACACATTTTGAGATGAGTTGAGAATCTACAGCTGAGTGTTGTAAAAATAAGCTATATTATTGAGTTTAGTGCCGCTTTAATGTATTCATAACCCAGGGCTCTGTTATAGCCCAACAGCTGCTATCTTAGACTTGCTTGGGGTTCCAATTGTTTAATGTAATTGGTAAATAGCAAATATTTTAGATGTAAAAAGATACAACCCGTCCTGACTGGCTTTGTAACAGGACAGGAGGTCAAAGCAGCATGGGGAAGCTCATTGAATATTGTCACATTCCAAACAAAGTTTTTAGGGGCAACCTGCTAAAAGGTTACTATTGTATATGCCTGAGCTGAAAAAAGCCATATCCAAGTGACCCTGGTGAATCAGTTTGCTCATCTTATGGCAGAAAAATGCATGGCTCAGGCTTTGCTATCAGTAAAAATGTGTTTTCATTCTTTATTCATGATCTGAGTATGAAAGTCCCCTCATTTATGTACTTTTGCACTTAGGGACCATTATATTTTATGAGTTACACTAAAATATTTCTGCCAACTTTACCTCTTTTTTTTATCTTTCTGCGGTTTTGTAGATGTCACGCATCCTTCAAGTGTTAATGCATCTGTAAAAGAGGTGGAGAAACATCTAAATGGACAGCCTCTGGACCTGCTGTTCAACAATGCTGGAGTTTTTGCCCACAACAGCTTGGAGTCCGAGACTTCTGAGGACATGTTGAATGTCTATAACATAAATGTAGTGGGCCCAATGTTAGTGACCCAGGTAGAGTTTGAGTAAACAGTCCTTCAGTCACTTACCGCTAGTTATTATGAATCAATACCTGTTATGTCGATTTTTAAAGAGGAACCATGCCAGGCTAGTGGAAAATTAAAAGCTGGCAGCTACAAGTACTGTAGCTACAGACTGTTAAGAAACACATACTTACCAACCCATGAAGTCCAGGTCTGTCTTGAATGAATTCTTCTCAGAGTTTCTGCTCTTCTGCACTTCCATCTTGGATTTGCGTTTCCACTGTGACTTCCTGATGATTCACAGCTGGCTCCCTACCGTGCATGCGCAAGATCTGCACTGCAGGGAGACTGGTTCTGTAGCCTCGTGGGATGTGTGATGTTATCCCAGGACGCTGCAGGCAGGGAATGGACCGAGGGCACATCATCCTCACCAAGGCTAGGGATACGGAAGTGTGAGCGAATACCACCAAGAAAAGGTTCTTATGCCCCCCCCCCAAAAAAAAAAAGAAATGCCATTGTGTAAGAGGCTAGGGGGGAGGCAGAGGATGATGGTTAAATTAAGTCTTGGATGATGGTCTGCTTTAAAAGTAATTCTGCCGGAAACCAGGCAATTCATGCTAAACATATGATGAAAAAGTGCATAATCAGAGGTTTCCCTTTTGTGAAGACTGCATATGAATGAAATAAAAACAATTAGTAGATGCAGAGAAAGGCAGCTAAAGTTTTATATGCATATATCGGGGCTTAGAACTGCCCTTCCCACCTCCAGTGCTTTACTATTGGTCGATTTAGATCACCCCATCATATTATGGGACTAATGGGAGGCTCGGACGGTGGAGCTGTGACAGGCTCTGTCACCTCCCCCAGCCTCTGTCCCCGGCGGCCGATGCTCGTTCCTATCACAGGAGTTCTAGCAACAGTGCTATGCTAGAACTCCTGTGTTGGAGGTGACAGGGTCAATAAAGAGTACCTGTCACCTCCAAATGCTATTACACAGGGGATTATTATTCCCTGTGTGATAGCAATACAATAAAAAGTTTTTTTTTTAAATAGTTAAAAAGAAAAAGTAAAAAATATTAATTAAAAATGCAACTAAATAAAAATGTAAAAAATAAAAAGGCGATTTTAAGTAAAAATAATAAAACAAATGAACATTTTTTACATAGTAAATAAAAACAGAAAAAAATAAAACCAGCCCCACGCGAATAAACGCGCAGTTTATAAAACCAGTAGCAACTGAATGCAGAGGCAACTATTTATGATAATAAAGAGTAGATGCATAGTCCTATACAACCGGCCCTTTGAGGGTAACCATACTGCTGATGCGGCCCCCGATGAATTTGAGTTTGCCACCCCTGCTCTAAGGCATGTAAAGCCAGCTGCATTCTGATATTCCAGTTTATTAGGACACTGGTTGGGTGAACCACCCTTCTTGTACCTCTTGGCAACACCATACCTTGTCAGTTTGTCCCCAAGGAATGCTTTTATTTATTCTTTTAGGTGGACAGTTCTTGGAGGGAGATTTCTATGACATTAAAAGCTTGTGGGCAAACTTAGACAGACAGACCCTCTGTGTGTTCCCCTTTTGACACTCATCACTGTTTTTTCTCTATCTATGCTTTCTGGCCAGCCTTGTCTGAACAAGTCAGGAGCACAGTTCATGTGGTGTTATTTCTGTTAATATAGAGCAATCATATTGTGCAGTGTTTTAACACTGCACAATGTGGTGTGTATGTGGTGCATACACGTAGAGATGTTTTTTTTCTCTATTCCCTGACACATTTTATCATTTGGTTCTCCATTTACTGCAGCTGCACCATCTCTAGCACCACATCCTGCGAGATGGACAGCACCAAAGGATTCAATCCCATGCTATATGCATTTAACTGTCAAGAATCCTTATTTAATTGTGGTCATTTAACAGTGGCACAAGTAATCAGCAAGAGAAAAGCTCGGGTTCTGACCACCTGAGCCTTGTCTCCTTTACATGTGGCTTCCTTATATGTTTGTTATGGACCCCTACAGTATGTCCTTTAGGGTTTCTGTATAACACAACTGGCAGGAATAAATGAGAAATCATCCAATGGAAACTCATATTCCAGTGACAAATGTCCAAGAGGCAATTAATCTAACTTTGGAGAGATTTCTTCTCACTTCTTGTTGTGTTTGCAAGACATACATATTCGTTGGTGACGAATGTTACCAGTGGGGAGGGGTGTGCTGCTACTTTTGGATCCAGCTCTGCCCGGCGTCCCACCCAGCTTACTGACGTCACTGGTTGCCAGGAGCTTGGCAGGACAATGTTAGCAACCTGGGACGCTCTGGCCCGAAAGGGTGCGGCAGGCACACCTGCCCCCACGTGCCCTTCATTATAGGGATGGCGTGGCACTTCCTTTTAGAATTGGCCCATAAATGACATTCAAGAGAGGGGTCAAAAACAACAATGCAATTGTAATCTATTGTAAAAATCTGACTGCCAGATAATGTTACAGGAATCATGACCACTTCACATGAAAAGGCCTTTATTTGATAAGTGTCATTAAAATGCATTTTTTCCCCTTTTCACTTGTGCAGGCATATCACCGGCTGATGAAGAGAGCAGAAGGCACTGGGAAGTCAGCTATTGTCCACATCTCTGCATTGCTGGGATCTCTGGAAGATGTTCCTCATCTTTTTAGTCACTTTCCAGTTATTGCTTACCGCTGTAGTAAGGTAGGGCAGAGACTACTACAGGAGTTTTAATTAACTTTGGTGAAAATCAATCAAACGTCAGTTAACGTAACAAGGAGCAATGTTGATTGGCTGTGAATGACTACATTTTGCACAAATTACATCAATACATCAATCAATTATTCAATAAACACATTTATCTTCATTTAGACCTGATAAATAATAGATCCAGGTGACTATGTACTTGTCATAGATCAGCCTCAGAGCTGATCTGTTACCTGTGCTTCAACAGGCTTGCATCTGTTTTTACCTCTTTGCTGCTGTGGGTCTGCTGGCACCTGTGGTTCTACAAGCATGTGCTCTGCTCTTGCTGCACACAGCCAGCGGTTATGGGCATCACCCGCTTCACCTGAGGCTTAGTATACCATGCTTCTTGCTACTTTCTGTCCAGCCTTCTGTCTCTCTCCCTATTTAAAAGCTGCTCAGACCAGCTCGCTTTGCTTCAGCAACACTCCTGCTGCCTCCGAGCTCCCATTTGTGCCTTTGTTTCTGACTTTAATCTACTTGGACCGATCTTTCATGTACTCACTCAGCTTAGTTTTCCTGTTCAAGTTTGTCTGTCGCCAGCCCTGACCTTTGTCATGTTTTCTGGATATCTTTCTTCTCTGTTGCCCTCCTTTCCTTTGCCAGCGCTGACTGGAACCCAGCCACATTCTCCGTCTCCTGTGTGTACGGGTACTCTCCACACATGTGAGCAGGGTGAACCTGGGGGTTGTAAGCTGGGGTCAGTATGCATCTAAGTCCAAACTTCCTTGAGGGGGTCCCTCTTGGAACACTGGCTGGCCTCTACACTCTGCGCCCTGGGGGATTCCACGCCACCTGCTCGTCTGCCGGCTCACATCCTTAGAATTGTGACAGTACAATCTGTTACAAACCTGGACAATTCAAACTCCGATGATAATAAAACAATTTTCATAAGCAGCCATTGCATTCCGTGAAAACCACATGTCAGGTGATGGCTAGCTCCAAAAATACAGAAAGTAGAACTACTGTATGTGAAAATATTGCCCTGACCCTTTCTGCCTTCTATACTCCCTATTGACCCATTAATGGAATTGGCAGACTAAGTGACCAGTAGAGAAGCTAAGGAGGTAGGAACTGGGCAGGTCAAAGCTGAAATTTTGCAGGAAAAGCAGAGATCTGCTGATTACTCCATTTTCATGTGCAATTTTCATTGTAGGTAAGGGTTTTCTGTTGCTGCGCTACAACCCACTAGGCTGGGTTGAACTAAAAAGATCCTAGTAAAGTCCTATGCCATGCATACTCGGGAACTAACATTATGGTATTATATGCTGTATGTAAGCATGCTGGAAAATTTAGTTAATTGAGCGTCTTTTAAAGACCAACTCCAGCCAAGATCTTTTTTAGTGTAAGGAAAGTTTAAAAGCTCTGTCTCTGTTGCTGTCTGTCCTGAGTTCTTCCTTCGCTTTCTGACACCTTTCACATAGTGAGCAGTATAGTTTCTTTCCATCTGCAAGCATCTCTCCTAGTGAAAATTCCCAATCTTTCATGACTCATACATGGACCTGTTTGTTCATCTCTAATCTCTGAAGGAGTTGGAAAGCATCACTGTGATGTCACTTCATTCCCCAAGGGTAAACATTTCTGCTGCCTGGAGTTTCTTATTTGCTCACTGGAGATCTTCACAAGGCTTAACTCTGATATGCTTTTGTCTTTTTGATCTCTCGTGTAGGCAGCTCTAAACATGCTCTCAAGATGCCACTCGGTGGGATACAAGCAAGATGGTATCATCTCAATTGCTATACATCCAGGATGGGTGAAGACAGACATGGGTGGTGATCAGGTAGGTTATAATGGAAACCTTTAATAAGGGATATAGTTTGGCTGCTAATGGTGACCTCCCTCCTTATGGCTGTTACTCGCTTCAGCACTTTGGGTCACTGAACTGGAAAAAGAAGGCAGCCAGTGTAGTCAGATCAGTCATATCCCCAGAGCTGTATGCTTGTTCTAGATCAGTGACACTGTAAGTACTGAAGCTATTTGATATGTATGATAGCCAACCAAATAACATTATCAGAAAAAGGTCAGCAATGGAAGCTTTCATGTTTCTGTAAGTACAGGCCTCTGTAAATCTTGAAATCTTATTTGTAATTTGTATTTTGTTGCAGAATTCCAGTATTCTGATCATTGACATCCTTGCAAAATGACTTCTGGGATAAACACTGATAGGAGGCATATTTGTAAAGTACACGCACATTGCACCTTCAAGCACAATTTGTAATGTTTTTCTGTTTTAATCCAGGCACCACTCACAAAAGAAGACAGTGTAGGCGCTATGATGAAAATCATCTATTCCCTGAGTGTGGAACAAAGTGGCACTTTTGTGGACTGGGAAGGAAAAGTCATTCCATGGTGATCCAAGTAAAGAAGAAGACAAGGACTGCATCATACTTGCTTGAATATGTTTTTTGTTACTACAATCTATTTGTACAAGCTGTTTTTGTACATTGCAGGCACTGTGTGATTGGATATCTACAGCTGTGAGGAAAAGACTGTAAATCCTTAGAAAATGTCTATATATCTGTAGGAATAGCTCTATAATGTGATATATCTTCATGTAAGTCAGAATAATTAAAATAGTCTTACCTGACATTGATATGTCTTTATTGAACATTGTATAACATATATCGGGGTGATTGATGGAAAAGTAAATGAACCCCAAATAAAATGACATCTAAAGTATACGTATATATAGCTGAGGATGCTTTGTAAAGCTGGCCACACACATTACAATCTGGTTTTGCAAGATTTACCAACAACTATGTATTACAAGGGATTTCCTTGGGAGAGAGATTTTCTCATATCACGCTTTCTGTATATGAAAGGAAGGAGGGTGTTCCAGATGCAGACACGAGGCGCACAGTACAAAGGGCCAATTGATGCATTAGTAGGTTGTATCCCCTTTTATAAAGCTCAAAATTAAACACTAAACTCTGGAGTTAAATCTTAAAGATATATTCACAAATAAGCTAATTTTCTGTGAATAATTAGGGTACTTGAATGCATTTGTAACATTCAACTCATGAGTTTGTCACTTGAGGTATCATTTTTGGCTGGAGTGTACGTTCTTGAATCACAGCTCTGGGTATACGAGCTAATATTCGTAATATAATTTGTAATATTCAATATTCAATATACAATCATGCAAGGAGTTTGGTGTATGGGCAAATGTGACCTTTTCTGAATAGGCATCTTAAACTTGAATTAACCTAGTTGCTCATGAGCCTCTGATGTTGAGTCAGTAAGTTCTAAAGCCAAAAGCCCTCTGGCTCACTGAAAAGACCCTGTAGGCATTTGGCTATGAAAAAAGATAAACAACTATCACCTCATTAAGGGGTCAATCCATCAAATGATCCTCCAGACTTGGTGACTATACACTGAGTGGCCAGATTATTATGACCACCCCATCAGTACTTCGTTGGGCCACGAGATGACTCCACGAGATGACTTTGTTGGGCCGCCTCGTGACTCCACGAGATGTTGAAAGGTGATGCGAGGAATCTTTACACTGCACTGTTGCCCTTCTGTTGTCTTGTACCAGTCTTGCCACTCTCCGTTCTGCCCTAACATTGACTAGTCGCTGACGGCCACAATTCGTACGTTCAGACCCAGATTTTCGGCTGACTGGACTTCTTTAAACACTTTAACAACAGCTGCTCTTGAACATTTAACGAATTCTGCTGTTTTGCTGATACTCGCTCCATGGCTCCGAGCTCCAACAATCATCCCACGTTCAAAGGCTGTTAAATCGTGTTGTTTCCCCGTATCTTCTGAAACAAATCACTTCTACTGTCGTGGTAAACAACCTGCTTCCCTATTTATAATGGTCTGGCCCTCCAGCAACTTCAGCGCGAAATTATAACTAATTATAGCTAATTTGCCTACAAACGTCAGGTGGTCATAATAAACTGGCCACTCAGTGTAAATCAGAATGGAAAAACTAATTCCACATTGGGGCACTGCACTGTCTATGGTCATTACTAAGGTTCTGAAGAACAGAGATGTGTTTAATCTCTCGTAAGATCCAAAATATTAATTGAGAGTTAGAGATGAGAGTCATTCTGATGTATGCAGATACCAAATGGCATGTCTTGGCCTTATAGACCCACCTAGCAACAGACTAAACTTGCATGGACCCTGCCTGTGTCAGTCAGGTCATATTTTTGTGCTAGTTTCTGAAATCCTAACTGCGACCCAGCTATCAAAATCGGCTGGTTCATCTAGCCTATAGCCATGTCAGAGGCAAGAGCTTTGCTCACACCCAGCAGGGTACCAACTCCAAAGGTGATTTGCCAAATGGAAATAGGGTAATTTGGCCAGAGATTGTTACGAAAAGAAACAGTTACTGAATTTCCAGTGTTCTCCCACCCACAGAATAAAATGATGCTGCCCCCAAACAGTAAAGTTTGCTTCTGGTTTTCTCCCATTTAGTTATTTTTTTTGTAGCAAATAGCCAATGTCTTTCTCGTTGTAGTTTTTTGTAATTATTACTTTGGTTTCCATGCACTGCGGGCCTGGGGATATTAAATATAAAATGAATACGCTGTCCTGGGCACTGAGCAAATAATTCACAACTTCTAGGGAGACTAGTGTGTGTGTGTGTAGTTGTATTGTAACTATAGTGCCTATGTATTCAGTTGAAAATTTGCTGCTAATCTGTGTGGAGGGACAGACTTCATTGCCAGCAACACGGATCTCTGTGTATATGTGTGTGCATGGTTGGCTAACAGACCAAGCAGCAGAAAAGCTGGAGGTGGTGGCATTCTAAATTGTGGATCTTGTGCGTGTGTGTGTGCTGTGTTCATTAACATAGACCAGATTCTTTCACATGCAACAGAAGATGCAGGAATCTGCAATAAGCGAGATGCAAGATGTGTCAGAGGTTGTGTTGTGCCAGAGACCTTGCCACCATGTTGCAGGAGGGATATGTTTTACAGAATGCCAGACTGCATTCCTGGCCCAAATCCCCAAAGATGTTCTATATTCTTCAACATTTGAAAGTACTTTTCCAACATCAAGTCCTAACTGTGCTGCTTGTCATAGCAGTCAAATTCAGCAGCTGTATTCTCATCACTCACATCACTGCCTTTGAATCCAGTAGATTTGCAGCAGCGTGCATTGGATGGCAACAACATTTTACATAAAGTCTCAGAAATCTTTCATTAAGGTCTTCATGTTATATAGTTTGAATAGCATGTCAAACATATATTATTTATCATTGTAATAGATCATATTCCACACTCCTTTTTTTTATTTCAATTTTTACGTAAAAAACAAAAACTGCTGTGGAAAAAAAATGTTTTTACCTTTTTTTATCCAGCCCTTCCCATCTCTACATGAACCCTAGCCCTATAGCCTGTGTGCTGCTTTCCAGCAATGGCTGAAAGGACGGTCTATAACAGGGGTGCCCATTAGGTCGATCACGATCTACCATTCAATCGCAAAGCGAACACTGCTACATCGTGATCGGCTCACTGACCTGTGTCCTGTCATCCTGCGGTGCTCGTGCGGCTGAATTTGTCAGACGCTGCAGACGGGAAGGGTCTCCCAGTCTGCACATTCGGCCACACAAGCACCGCGGGAAGCAAGGACACCACACCTCAGAGGAGACCCAGAAAGTTGCTGGAGTGCAGGTAAGAAAAGACAGGCAGAAGAGAGAAGATAGACCACAGAGAGAGAGAAGAGAGATAGCAGAGAGCTTGGAGAAGGAGACATCAGGGATGGGAATGTACCCAATTCTGCATTTGTATTGTACAACGTAAAGAAGGAACACAAACAGGTATTTCTTTTAAGTTGAGTGTATGGTAGAGTAACTCATAACAACGATCCAAAATTCACATTTGCCTGATGAGACAACCGTTACCTAAAATCCGGTCCCCATGGCTCTCTTCACACTTTTCTGCGTTGTCTTATAAAACAATCCTTTGTTGCTACTGACACGTGACATGCTAAAAGCAATGACATTTAAAAATCCCTTTAAACGGATCGGGTACAAAGCTCTTAGTGTGTCTCCTAACTGAACAGACATTTTTGTTGGTCATAAGTACACAAGGCATTTTACAAAAGTAGCTTCATGGCCCAGAGTTTTTCAAATATCACATTAACCGACCTGCCTCTAATAAGGAAGGACCAGTAGCTGAGCAGGTACTTATTTAAACTAGGAGCATCTTATGAAGATAGGCCAATGTTGTGGCAAGGTGCCTGCATTCTAGGTGCGCGCGATCGCACAGCATGCAAGTGGCGTGGCTGCGGTGCCATTGACTTCAATGCACCGCCACGTCCCCCTCCCGCCCGATTGCAGGGAGCCAGCCGGCTTGCGTTCCTGAGGCCGAACACTCTGGAACGCAGACTTTGTGGTGTGAACCGGCCCAGAGAGAGAAAGGAGAGAGCGCACGAGAGAGAGGCAGTAGTCCCAGTAGTGATTTCAATTTTTTTAGTTTTCTAAATAATGGTGTTTTTTTGCTGGTAGATATCATTGAGCTCGTCATTTGAAAAGTAAATCTCCAGATGAAAAATTGTGGGCACCCCTGGTCTATAAGCTCCTATGACACCCTGCAGGAGCTGATGATTAAGGATCAGTTCTTTCACACGCATCTTGTAGAGGTTCAATCGTTTGTACTGGACCAAAAGCCCAAGATGGCAGATCAAGCATCTGAAATCACCGTCTCCTATATGGCTAACAGAACGCCTGACACCTGTAGGACTACGGCACCCAGATGAGAACAAGGAAAGCAGCTTGACCCTCTTCTGATGTCAGTCGGAGACCCAAGGGATCTGGACCTTCCAGAGCCAAGCCCGTAGCTGTGAAAACCTTGTTTTGTAACAAGGTGGATAATTCTAGCATTTCTTGTTCTGAGAAAAAGGAGTTTCCCAACCACCAAGTGTGGCCCCTTCTTTTTTGTGTACTTCCAGGAATGCAGGGGGCTACTCAGACAAACAATATACAGGCTGTCAGAGGTAATCTAAGTGTGCTCTGAGCTGGTAAGTCCTAAGTATTATATTCCCAGGAAGACTATCTGCATTGAGTTTGCATATTGTCCCTGTGCGTGTGTGTGGCTTCCTCCCACACTCCAAAAAGACAGGGTAGTAGGTTCATTAGCTCCTTCCTAAATTGGCCCTACTATGTGTACTTATGTTATAGGGACAATACATTGTAGTCTCCTTGAGGGATGGGACTGATTTGAATCAATAATATGTAAAGTGCTGTGTAAATTGGCACTATATAAATACCGGCAATAAATAATAAGATCATGGCAGTCAAATGTACTGGGCAGCATCAACAGCCTGTGTTGGTGCGAGCCCCACTGGCCACCTGAGAGTCGGCACTGGCCACCTGACCGCCTGCACTGGCCACCTGAGAGCAGGAAAACAAGCACTCAGCATTATGGCGAGTTGCATAATTCTATATTACAATGTAATAACAGAAAGTGCACAATAAATGTGCTTAAAACATCCTTAAACCATCCCCTCCATAGGGACTTCTAGGGAGGAACCATGGGGAAAATGACTGTGCAAGGACCTGGCCCTAAAGAGTCTCCATACTCTGGGCCTAGAATAGGACTTAAAGCCTTGATGCATACTGGAACTAATGATTAATGCATGATGTACTGTGTAATGACACCTGCCATGGTGAGGTCTCCTTAGCCTCTCCTTTCCCTGGTGGTTGTGGCACATAGCCGCGTTCTCTGAGACTGTTAAAAGGTTGATGGCGGCCTCAAAGAACCCAGGGGTCTGGCCAACAGTCTGTTGACCGGGAATGGAAGAAGATTCTGTATGTCTTTTTTTTCCCCCCATTAATGCTTCGCCTCGGCCAGCCAGCAATTTTTCATTAATTGTACACTAACATTTTCTGTAACCAAGGGCCTCACTGATGAACACAAATAATAAACACCTGTATATTACTCAAACCTTTTATTGATTATATAAACACATTAAACGCCAGAATAAGAAACATTAGTAGAAAAATAAAAATTTTACCTTTAAAACAAAATCACTCTATTGTACAGGGTAAACTGATCATGAGTGTTCATTAACAAAAGGTGCACAAATGAGCATTTCTGCAGTAAGAGCTATTGCGATGAAGTATGGTTTATTATTACAGTGTGCCAGTGAGGAATGTTCTGCACAATCACACTGAATGTTCTTTGTAGCACAAAGCTAGCAGTGTTAGCAATGGTTTATGGTCAAAACTAAATAGCAATGTTAATGCATGATCACAGGCATAGTAACATTCCTGGGTTTCTCTACAAATACCGTACTGTCCCACTAATGTATCATCCTCAGATCTATCTGCCATGGAAAAAGGAGGTCATAATGATGCATCTAGGTGCCTGTGCAGTTGTGTAACAGTTGTAGCATTGTTACCTACAATCGGGTACAAATCTCAAGCAAATTGTTTTTTGTGAATTGATTCCAAAGTTTCTTACCTTGAGATCCTGCCAGTAACAGCGGTACCTGTTGCTGGCCGACATAGCTAAGCCACTGCCTCGCAACTATTAGCAATGCTGTTAGTCTGCCATGTGTGCCCCTTTGGTGCCCTGCATTAAACACAAGTTATGTGGGAAGTATAAACCCCTTGTACGCTTGCCAGATTCACCTTTTCATCACCCAAACACTGTTGAACATCTAGGTATGTATTCAGCCATAGAAAAAGTATTACAAACTTCCAGGTGCATTTACAAATGAGTTCCAAATGCACCTAGGCACATGTACTTTAATTGTGTGTATGGGGCCTTAGTTGGCCAATGGGCTGCCTATCAGATAAGCAGCCCAATGGCCAAATGAAGAAGCTCGTAGTGCAGGCTGACAACACACTAACTAATTGCAAGGAAGCGGCTTGGTGTAGTCTGTCCACAACAGCCCACACATGAATATTCCAGTATGCACATCTAAAAAGGTGCCCATACACGGTATCAACCCTCGCAAGACTTGTCTTGCGAGGGTTGTAAAGTCATTTTAAAAACGTACGATCTGCCCATCATGGACAGGCAGATCGTACTTGCGATCATCGCAAGCCCGCCCCGCTGAGGGTCGGGCTTCCGATGACCGCAATGCTGAACGGGCAGTGTGCGCGTGCGCACACCGGCCCGTTTGGCAGTTGTTGAACAAGCACGCCACTAGCCAGCCAAGAATCGTACGATTCTCGGCGGGTTTTCCAGCCTGCTTGTTCGACGGAAGACGTGCGATCGTACAGTAGAAACGGTCGCACGCCTTCCATACACTTTGCAATTATCGCACGATCGCGGGATTTCCCGCGATTATCGTACAATAATCGTACAGTGTTTGGGCACCTTTAGGGAAATTCTATAAAAACAATGGTGCTATCCAAAGCAAACATTCAGATTTGAAAGGTTTCATGTGCAGGTGATGAAATGAGAGAAAACATCTGCCAGACTGCTATTAACAGACCACACGCTTTTCTTTCCTTGATAGTATGCTCCTCTGTAACAGCATTAAAAGGGCCTTTCCACAAACAATATTTCAATTTAGACAAGATACAAGATGACTGATTCATCCATTGTGCCTTAGAAGCCTTTCACATGGGCATTCTAATCAGGTCTGCCTATGAGGTTTTCAGGCGGATCTGATCTGAAGTTTGATGTTAGTCTATGGACATCCAGATCTAAAATCGATGCACATCCATTTACATCCAATTACCCCCGACTCCAGCCAGGTCTGGAAAACTAACCAGAACAGAGTTCCGTTTTGGGGGACCAAATCGGGGGTAATCTGATTTAAACAGACACATCTCTCCGTTTACATCCAACTCCCCATAGACCAACATGCGTCCGGTAATTCCAGCACAATCGGAAAAACTGGATGGATATGGATGTCAAGGGTGACATCAGTTCCGAACTGCTCTGATCAGCAGAGTATGTGCTTGGATTCCCCTGCTGATCAGAACAGAAGGTGCCCATGTGAACAGGGCCTTATTCTCTCCTGGAGACTCGTCTCCCTCAAAGTGCAGCTGTTATAATAAACAAATGAACGGTGCCATTGCTGGCCTTCCTTTGAAATGATGTTTCAAAACAAAAATGAAACCTAAATGTGCACAGATGAATTCCTGAGACGCTGACAGCGAACAAAATTTTGGGGCAAGAAAAAAAAAATGCTGCTTTGTCACTTACAGGTTCCACAGGGAGATCTGAATATACAGGTAAAAGCTGCTTTCACCCCCTGGCACCAATGTGCATGCACAATGCATACAGCAGACTCTTCTAGGCAACTATAAAGAGTTACAATCTGAATTCATTTTAAGATTATAAATTGCATATTTCAGAAGCTGAAACTAAAAAACACTTGTCAACAAAATCAATATAAATTAGATAAAAGGCCAATATTAGCATTCGATGACAAAGGGTTTAATGAGCAATAATAATACCTCAAAACAAACAAAATACACAAAAATGCAATCAAAAGAGAACCAGCTTGAAATAAATCCCCTTTACACACTGGCTAGTGTGCTATATGAATTATCCGAGAGATCTGAATGCTAATTTTGGTCCTGGCTGGCAGTCAGATAAAAGGTATGCATCATGCTTTAAAGGTAGCAGTGATGATGCAGTCCTTCTGCTTCACTATGCAGAGAAGCCAACAGCATTTAGCTACCCTATAAGAAGCACCTAAATGATGAGGTTGAATGCTGAATCCTCTCAGGAGATTTTTAAAGCTTTTTCCTGCACAGAGAGGACCCTGAAAAACTATTTTTATATATAGATATAGAGATATAGATATATATCTCTATAGCTATCTATCTATCTATCTATCTATCTATATATAGATAGATATAAGGCTATGCAAGGGCTTTTATGTACAAAGCAAAGTGGTTCTCTTTATGGATACCGGTACATATTGGAAAACAAATAAATGAAGTATACAAGGCAGAAATGGAAGCTCAGTTTGTCCACTGGCTAGGTGTGCAATTCATCTGATCACTGTAAGCAGCGAATATTCAAACTTTGGAACAGAGCAAAAGTAATTACAGCTACAAGCCATGCTGTAGTAGAGTAACTCCGCTTAAGCTGGCCATGCACTGAATTTTTGAATTTTGGCCATTTGTTGATGAACCGACCAAAATTCGCTCAATGGGTGGCCCTGTCGGCAGCCTTCTGCCCACAATCCTTTACTCAGAAAATTAAAGGAGCTGGTCAGAAAATTCTCAGCTGAATAGTGGTTGCAGTTAGCTGCAGTTCCCGCATCGGGAGATTCGTCCATCCACGGTCTTTAACGTGGATGGTGGAAACTGTTCGAAATTTCTCTTTCACCCACGGGATGAACGAAGCAAATCTAACAGGCAACGGCCAGCTATAGGATGCCACAGTTTCTTGTTGAGGACTTGTGCACAAGTCAGTATCAATGTGATATGTGTAGGAGTTAATTTTGAACTAATATCCATCAGAGACAACTGCTCTCCATCATGGACAAGTACTCACATCTTGCTTTGAGTGAAGAACACACCAAAATGTTCTTGCAGGGTCTAAATCAGCCATCTAGGCCGTTTCCTATGGCGGATGCAGATGTTGGAAGAACCAAGTGCTAGGAGCACTTAAAGTAGGAGGCACTCAAATGCAGTATCAGGGGCTTCTAAAGTGGACTTGTGAGGTTATCTTTTTTTTTTTTTAAAGCACGGTTAAGGAAAACTTTTCCTGGAGTTCTTCTTTAGGAAAACTGTTTACATACATTTTACCCTTGATTACTATAAGTAGCTTGCACCTCCAAGGGCCTGGGCACCACAAAAGCTCCCTATATGACCCACTCTACCACCAAAACCCAGAGAATACATTTCCTGACCAGTTTCCTAGTCACTGGCTCTGACCTTGCCTCCTACTGCCAACATGCCCCTTACTGACCTTGCCCCTTGATGGCCTTGCCCCCTACCTACTGGCACACTAATGTGTTGAGAGCTACCGATGTCTCTTTCCCTGCTGTGGCCAGGTTTAAGATTCTAGTACTTCTGGGTATGGGGAAACATCCCTATCTACTCACAATGCAATGATTGTCGCTTGTGCTGATTGTGCCTAGAAGTAGGTAAGAATCAACTTCAGGAAAGTTTATTTTTGAGCAGGATCTTTGTAGGGGCGGTAGTGGAAAAATAAAGTGATACACAGGACTACAGACACTAGGAAGTGCCCCCACAGTGTGGAGGAGGGTTCTTGGATGGAGACGGGTTTGTCCTTCCTGATAACCTAGATGCCTTAAAAAAAAAAAACTACATTTTTTCCCCAAAAAAGCTTTCTGAAGGAAACAATGGTGTATTCTGTATTCACATCTAAATACACACATTTGTCAATAGTACAAGACAGTTTCTTTTTAATACCCATATCAAACCATCTTTTAGATGTGGACACAGTCTGCTTCCAAGACCATGTTGACAGAAATCACACAACTATCATTATGTGTTTCACAGACACGCTAGCCATGAGTGCCGAGTTACATTAAGTGGTGAAACTTATGGCAAGTAATGGAATCATTAGCTGGACTGCCTTTTTAATGTGCGGCTTGAGAATTATTAGCACAACAGCAAGACAATCTGAAAAGAACCAAGTAAAAATGCACTTCATGTATGGTTGCATGGTCAGAAAAGAATGAGAATATATACAAAACAGTTTAGCAGCATTAGTACTAAAAGAAGTGAATAAAATATTAAAATCATTTAAAAAGTGCATAAAGAAGGTCTGTATTGGGTGCTGTTCATCATTAAAAACAGCCTTAAAAACAAAGATGGAAAGTGCAGAGTAGAGTGCATATTTGTTCTTCTATTTGGAACTAACCTTTATGCTTTAAGAAAAATTCAATTAAAAACGGTATTGTAATCCCAGAAATGGTGGCGTCTGTAAAATTGTTGCAGTGCTGCATTTTGAGGGTTTCCGAGACGCAGTCATTTTTTTTATTCCAATGCCTAATGGAACAGCTGGTGACAATGGCATGTAAAACCCTTATTGTATTCCAGCTACATAGGTTAGTCCTGGGCACCGAAGAACCATAGCGAGTGGCGTTTGAATATGTAGGCAATCTTACAGACTTGAATTCATCAGTCATATTGACAGTGATGCTTCCTATCAAGGCTCCATTACTGGGCAGTCATGGTGAAACACCATGCTGCAAATTCTAAAGCACATTTTTCATCTTTGAAGGTGCTGAAAAGGGCAGCCAGCTACAAAGTCGCTAAAATCCTTAAGAAGGAAACGATAAGCACACAGAAAGTCTGACCCACGCCCAGGACTAGGGCTTCAAAGGGAATCATTTCCTTGGCGGCAGCTTTGTACACTCCAGCAATGGCAGCACCTGTTGTGGAATAAAAAAAAAAAAACAGGAGGCTCTGTGTTATATAGATGTACTGCTTTCCCATCGCCTGCAATAATTCCTATGCAATAAACAAGTGCAGTCCACTCAACGGCAAATTTTACAATATTGAACAGCAAGAGAATGACTTCCGATAGGACAACTTTTTGAAAATCAATACGTGAAGTCCGATATTTCACAGTAGTTGGAAAGTGTTCCAGGAAAATGACAAAGCTTTTACTTGAAAATGATTGTCAGCATAAGATCCTCATTCTATAGATAGCCAACAGGTCCCACAGCAGAACAAAAAAAAGGTTTTATCCTTATATACTGCAGTGTTCGGATCTGCATTATATTGTCTACCACAAAAAAACAAAAACACACACACATTATATATATATATATATATAAAATTAGCATCAGACTGGTGTTTTTGGAGTTAGAATTTGCTCTACAATCACTCACTATACATGGCACAGGGAGGCACAGTAGTGCTGATGTCACTGGGAGGGTTCAGCTTTCAATGCACACCTAGAGCCTTGGTGGCAGAATCATTTTATCACAGGGCCAACACAACAGCCATTAGGAACGGGTACCCATATCAGGAATTAATGCTTGATATAATCAAGAATACTGTCTGCAGGGCAATAATGGAACAATAATGGAACAGGTAAGGATGGCCAAATGAAAAAAATGCTGCACATTGTTATAAGTCGAGTATGTGTAGTGGACTGAAGAGCTTAGGCTGAAATCCAGGAAACAATATTTTCTACTTGGCTTATGCGGTCTTCTTGGACAAGTTCACACACACACACACACACACACACACCCCTGATGCAGCCTATCACCATAAATGTCAACGCTGATGCTACAAAGCTTAAAATAAAAGTTGTAAAACAGATACACAATTTAAATTTTTAAGGCCCAGGTTGACCACTAAAACCTGGCCTGCACAGTGGCTCAGTGGTTGGCAGGTTGCAGGTCTGGACAAGACACTATCTGCATGGAGTTTGCATGTTCTCATCATGTCATCAAGTATGGCTCCTGCTGTTTTGTGTACTTCCAGAAATGCAGGAGGCTACTCAGATAATATGCAGCCTGTCACTGTGGGCAACACAGTGACTACAGGCTTAAAGCCGGCCGAAATTTGCTGCATGGGTGCCACTGTCGGCGCCCTTCTACTTGTTGTCCCTTTGATGATAAACGAAGGAGTCGGTTGGAAAATTCTGGGCGGAACGGTTGGCTGCTAGCTCTGTTCGGGTATTTTTTACAGTAGCCACTATCAGAATACAAAGGAAACAGCAGGAGATTCCTCCATCCACGCTCATAAGTGTGGATGGAGGAAGCTGTTCTATTTTTTTTCCATTCAGCCCGTGGGTTGAACAAAATAATTAGAACCGTGTACACCTGGCTATAGGGACAGTGGGGAGGAAGTGAACTTAGTGAGCCCTGAGCAGCTATATTCCCAGCTTTACTTTCTGCATTGAGTTTGCATGTTCTCCCTGTGCTTGTGTTGGTTGACTCCCACAATCCAAAGACATGCTAATAGGTTAATTGTCTTCTGTCTAAATTGGCGTGTGTGCGGGTCTGTGTGTGTGTGTGTGTGTCTGTGGGTGCGGGTCTGTCTGTGTGTGTGTGTGTCTGTGTGTGTGTGTGTGTGTGTGTGTGTGTGCCTGTGTGTGTGTGTGCCTGTGTGTTGGGAAGAACTGATGTAAATGAATAGTATGTAAAGTGTTGTGCAAATTGACAGCGCTACAGAAATCCCTGTAATAAATAATAATAAGTGATAATAATAAGTGATAAATATCTTGCTGGTTGGAGTTCCTATCATTCATTTGCTATCAGCGAATTGATGGATTGGTAGAGAAAGTATCCCAGCTAGTACTGGTGATAGATCCACATGCTTACTTGTTAATATTCCTGCAGATATTGGTCCCACAATTCCCATCAGCAGGATTGACACAGACATGAACCTTCCATATTTGTGGTGTCTCAAAGTAAACAAAGCTAGCAGTCCAGCGGGTATGTGAAAGAAGAGTGAGGAGACCAGTGCCCATAGGAATACTCCATACCACATCTCTGAAGAAGAAAGAAAAATTGAAGAATTTCCAATCAGGTATTTTCAAGAAAAGATGATTTCTGCAAAACAGTGCAAGCAAAAGCAATAAAGATTATTCGCTCATGCGTGTAATCATTTCTGCGGCATCACTGACACTGGATGAAAGGTGATCCTGGCATGAAGACTTTTGTTCAGGCACGTCCTGCTGTGGTTTAACAACTTGTGCACCCGTGTTGTCACCCTGTGATAAAAACTATCCTTGTTGCACTCCTTATCGATATGTCCCTCGTAGTGGGGGGTGCTCACAGTGACTGCGGATGGCGCCGCAAATATCAGCAAATTGTAGAAATGTCACCAGCACACCAGTCCTTTTAGGATAGCAAAAGCTTCATTTATTGAAGTTCTCCGTCATATGAAAAAGCGCTTTCGGGACCACACAGGGTCTCTTCATCGAGCTTTAGCATCGTCAATGCTAAAGCCTGATGAAGGGACCCTGTGTGGTCCCGAAAGCGCTTGTTTGTTCATATGACAGAGAACTCCAATAAATGAAGCTTTTGCTATCCTAAAAGGACTGGTGTGCTGGTGACATTTCTACAATTTGTGTTGTCACCCTGTCACATGCGCCCCTGATGGAGACTACAAGCGGCCTAGCTGACGCATTGCACAGGCACAGTCCCCTCTTGTCACTATCAGGGAGCCTGTCCAGAGCAATAATGTGCAGCCATCACTGGAGTGTGTACATGTTGACAAGAACTGGCTAAAAGAGGCTGGAGGAGATCAGCAGAAATGTGATGCAACAGGATTCACAAAAAAAAAAAAAAAGAAAATGCAAATAGTATGCTATGAAAAAAGACACGCCAATGTAATACTTAGCAAAGCAAGGGAGGCTTTTATAATGCAGCCATACCTCCGCTTTAACGCCTTGTTCACACCAAGCGCGGAGCAGATCCAGACCAGAGCAGGTGCAGACCGGATCAAAACTGCGTCCAATGTATTCCTATGGTATTTTGACCTCCAGTTCACATCACAGCGTGCAGATCCAGACCGGATGAAAAAACTGCGGCAAGCCCTATTTTACCTGCTCTGGAACACATCAAAAAACGCATCTAAAACGCAAAAACGCATCTAAAACGCATGCAAGTGCCTGAAAGCCCATGTTAAACTTACATTTTTTTTTTTTTACCAAAACCGTCCCTAAACGCATCAAAAACGCGTCTAAAACGCGGCACAACCCACTGCACTGCGTGTGCAGAAACCTGACCGGATCTGGTCTGCATTTGGTGTGAACAAGGCCTTAGAAGTGGAGAAGATAGTAGGGATGCACCGATACTGTTTTTTCCGTTTTGAATACCGATATTTATATTTCAGTACTCGCCGATACAGAGTATCGTTACCTGCCGCCCGGCTTCTTGACTGCCCAGGAAGCTGGCTCCATGCTGTTTGGCCGACTCGATGTTGATTGGCCAGGAAGCCAGCCAATCAGGATCAAGTCAGCTTCCTAGCCAATCAGGAAGCCAGGCGGCAGGTCATATCTGCTGCCCGGCTTCCTGATTTTACGGGAACTTGACTCCATGCTGTATGGTCCGAGACCGATGCCGATTGGCTGGGAAGCTGGCTTCCCAGCCAATAAGCATTGAACTGGCCAAACAGCATGGAGTCAAGTCCCCGGCTTCATGTTCCCTTTGCGGCACTGGCGGTCAGAGGCAATCTCCCTTTGACCAGAAGTTCCGATATCTGACCATTTGGGCGATTAGTCGGCCAAATACTCGGTATCGGCACCAATACTAGTATCGGCCCATCCCTAGAAGATAGTCATGTGACCTACCACTCCTCCAATCGCACAGTTTGCTGCTGCATTAAAGCAACACTAAACTCAGTACAATAACTATTAACACAATGAGGGGAATTTATCAAAACTGGAGCAAACAGAATCTGGAGCAGTTGCCCATGGCAACCAATCAGCATCTCTCTACAGTTTGCTCAGGTGAGATTTGAAAATGAGAGAGCGGTGCTGATTGGCTGCAGTGCAAATCGGCTCCAGATTTTGTCTGCTCCGGTTTGGATAAATCTCCCCCACTGTATCTTATTTGTGTATCACTCAGTTGTAGATCCTCACATCATTTCTGAATTGGTGCTGACACTGTCCTTTCTTCTGGAGGGGGGCTACTTTTTTCTCCATGGTCCCTGTGTGTGTTGTACAGTAGCCACTACTTCAAGCTCACTCTTGTGATGGACTACAATCTCAATACAAATTAGTAAACTAAAAACGTGAGATTGTAGTCCATCACAGGAGTGAGTTTGGAGTATTGGCTACTTTACAACACACACAGGGACCATGGGGAACAAATGCAGTCACCCTCCGGAAGGAAGGACGGTGTCAACAACAATTATGAGATGATTTGAGGATCTACAGCCGAGTGATACACAAATAAGATACATTTTTGCTAATAGTTAAAGTACTTATATGCAATTTTAAGATTTAACTCCTGAGTTTCGTGTCCCTTTAAGCAAAGAGAACTGTAAGTTACCGCAAACTCCCCACTGTGGCCTGCATTTTATGAGTGGGCTGCAAAATGTGTGCCACATATAGCTAATAAGAGCAGACAGTGATATCCACTCTTTGTTATAACTGAGCCCCTAAAAATTGTAAGCCCGACATCCAGCTACTACTTTAAATCTGATCTCTGGGCAAATATTAAACCACCCTCCTCTAACTGATCACTTGCTTAAAAACATGCCCTTTGTGATGCTCCGTTACCAAGACCTTTCTCCTAAATTGTTTACATGAGGTGGGGCCCTTCCTTGGGTGTCCACATCACTGTCTGGGTGATGTGGATACTTCCTATTGGATGTCCAGCAGCAGAGTCCTCTCAGGATCTAGAAGAAGAATGATGTCAGTACAAGGCCAATGGTGGGAGCAAGTGTATCTGCAACGCTGGATTAGTGGTCCTCTGCAGCCTAAAATGGCACCAGCGAGGGACATGGATGGAGGACATAGACCATGGGTGGGCAACTCTGGCCCTCCAGCTGTGCTTTAACTACAAATCCCAATATGCATTTGTCAGTCTTGCAATGCCTCATGGGACTTGTAGTTGCACAGCAGCTGGAATTGCTCACCCCCGACTTAGACAAATATTACTTGCTTCACAAGGTAAAAAAAAAAAAAAAGTGCATGATTGGGGCGGGGGGCTGGTGATGTTGTGTAACAATTGGCTGGATTGGGGCTTCAAAGGATAAATTCATCTTTTTAAAAAAAAATGACCTTCAGCCCTGATCTAGTGATCTTTCCTTCAACATGGTCCTGGCCGGCTCCTCTTCACTGACCCCATTCATTTCTATTGGTGGCCATACTTATGGTGACCTCCATTGGTTCCTCGGAGTACGCCCCCTCCTCAAAGTACGGTGTGAGGAGGAGCCAATAGGACCGCATTGGAGGAACGACCACTGGACCGGGCATGAAGGTAAGTATAATCCCTTCCTGTCGGGACCTCATCGGGGGTGGGGTATGTATTAAAGGCAGACTTCATTAACCGCCTCCCGGCCTTTGTACAAAAACGGCCGGCCAGGAGCTTCCTCGATGTAACAGGGCGTCAAAAAACGCCATGTTAGCCCCGCCCACTCATACGCACCAGCAGGACCAAAATGTAAAAACAGGCAGCGATGCCCGTTTATATACAAGCGATCTGCCGCCTATAGAGCCAGCGGATAGCTTGTATGGAGTTTCTGAGTGGAAAAAAAAAAAAAAAAAAAATTAAAGTTGCAAAAAAGTCACATGAAAAAGAAAACAAACTTTTTTTAAAGTACCCACCCATACATACACGCATGCAAACATGTCGTGTGCGCATACGTGTGAAAACGACGATTGCGCCCATGGCGCCACACGTTACATATCGCCGCGAACGGCGCAGTGAGAGCAATCATTTTAGTGCAATTAATGACTGATAACACTAAACTGAAGGGCGGTAAAAGCTTTTTAAGCCGATCAGTGATTTCCAGCTTTGGGTTCTGCACACAGATGGGTTATCTCAGTACAAAATCAAATGTATTATTACAAGAACTGGATCAGCCTCCATGTAACACCCCCAATGTATACAAGGTGAGCAAAAAGTTCTATAGAACCCCAATAATCAATTCACACTGAACCTAACAGTATGTGTGCAGTGCTGTCCAGTGATCACATGACAGGGGCTGTCACCCCGGCTACGCTATGTGGGAGATGAGGACAGTTGGGGACTTGCTGTGTACACAGAGATAGTTCAGGTCTGCTCTCACCCGGGAAGAAGCACAGAGTGGTGTTACTGGGGCACACACTGACATTTCCCACCCGAGGAACCAGGCTGAGGCTCAGGATCTGCTGTAGAAGCCCGGTCTCTCCCCCCGGCTCTCCGCTGTCCATACTTCCGCCATCCACCGCTGTACAAGCCCCGGAGCTTCCCAACTCAACTTCCCCGAGCCCCTCTCGCCTTCATCCCTAGACCCGCACAAGTTACAACGCAGCAGCCAATCGGTGAATGAGGACACGGGTGGGCGCGGCTGCCAGTAACATTACTTCCTGATTATTGGTTAATCTGTAGGTCTGTCATCATCACAACCAATAAACGGATCGCTATCTTTGCGTGAGGTTGTGACGTGTAATTTAGCTGATGTACGTAAATATTACGAGCGAAGGAGCAGGAAGTCACGCAGCGCCATGTTTGTAAAGGGTATATTCCCTGGACCAAACATTGGTCTTGCGTGGGAAGGTTACGCAAACTAGTAGCCATGCTACCGCCCCTGACTGCGACTTTCTCTTCAGCCAGCGCTGTTCTCTACAGCGCATGCGCCGTACAGGGTTCCCCTAACTCGGATATCCGTTCTCATTGTAGGTTCTGTAATTGGCGCATGCGCAGTGTGGAACGACCTGCTTCCATGCATGCGTAGTGGTACCCTAGTTGGGTAACTACAGATCTGTTCGGTTACCGGGTTGGCATTGTAGAACCCATCGTACGACGATGTCTGACTGTGACTCGGATGAGTACTGTTCCTCCGATGATGAGGATTATGTTCCCTCAGGTATGTGTATAACCAGAGGTCAGGTAAGCTGTCATCTATTGTGTTCTATATGGGGTATGATCGTAGCGATCGGTGATTGTGGATGTACAGATGCCGCTTGCAGCATCCACATCGTGATGGAATATGTCATTCTATAGGAGTTGGAGTGGCACAGATCATCCATCACTGACAGCTCAGATGTTTTGTAGATCGTAAGCTTCCCCTGTAAATTCTGCATCACTTACAACAGATGCATGGCTGTGTATATTTGTAATAAAATATTTTAACGCAGCTCTGTTACTGTTTGTAAATAAACAAATCAATCACTGTGCAGAAAGAAGTTTCTGTCCCTTTGCCCTCATTGCTGAACTCAAAGCCAGTTCAAGATCCAAGCTTTGCTGAAAAATGTTTGGGATTTTCCTCTTCAGTGAGTGTTGAATGCTGGTGGCCCCATGCTGCATGCCTTGGTTTCTTCTGCCAGCCCCTACTTCACTACAGGACACAGGCTGATTGAAGGAACCACAGGGTGCAGTAGGGAAGGCAGACATCCTATACTCTAGGAAAGGGGAAGGCAACCACCCACCAAAGGCTACCTGCAGAAAAGTACAGGAGGGGGCGGATACATGACCAGTCACCCTGCACAAGTAGAGAGAGCAGCAGTGACACTGAATTACTACACAAAGCACATCAAGATTCAATTAAGAATACACATACCTCGTGTGTTAGGACTATATTTACTTATCCAATTCTAGCCCTGTCAATCACTGTTAGCACTAAACTGATGAGCGGTACAAACGTTTAAAGTGTTCCCTATGGGAAATTTGGGATATTGAAGTTTTTTGCGGCCGCAATTTTAAGGCTTGACATGTTTGGTATCTAATTACCCGACATGACCCCGTCTTTTATATTTTACCAATACCGACAATATTCAAGGTGGGTGTACAATGGTCCGAGTTACCCCGTGTAGTACCAGTAAACTGTTATGTAGAGTGCCCTATATTTGAGCTATTGATAGGTTTTACCAGGACCTTCTCAAAGGGGGTTTACCCATCCTGTGCTACTATAAAAAGTGTTTCTGTTTTGGAGCCCACTGCTCCAGAATGTAGATCTGCTGTGAAGGGTTGAAAAATTAGCCTTTTTTAATTCACTTTTTCTTTCATTTCCATCATAGGTGGGGAATGTAGCGAAGATGATGTGAATGAGTTGGAGAAGGAAGATGATGATAATGATGGGCAAGAGGATGGAGAAGAGAAATCCAAAAGCAAAACGAAAAAGACAAACAAGAAGTCTATTACAGCAAGGTAATGTTGTTGCGCTTGTTTTTACAGGTGGCAGAGAATGCTGGTACATGTACGGTATCTGCACAGGTTATTGACAGGCATATGTAGCTTTGGAATAGTTTAAACCTCCAGGCTTTAGTCATAGTTGTTTAGTCATATTTTACCTTAATAGTTCTAAGGAAAAAAAAACATCTCTTACTGCAATACCTGCCTTCCCTCTGGAGCTGTCTTCTTGGTAATATCTCTTCTCCACAAGATGTCCTTATTCTTCTGGGCTGACTGATGCCCCGAGGGAAGTGTCAACATGGTGTCCTACACTCACTGTGTAAAGATACTTAGAGTAGCACTGATGTCATCACATGTC